AGACCTACAGACTCACACAGAGATCCACACAGAGACCCATAGACTCACACAGAGACCCACGGACTCACCACACAGAGACCCACAGACTCACTACACAGAGACCCACACAGACTCACACAGAGACCCATAGACTCACTACACAGAGAGACCCACAGACTCACACAGAGACCCACAGACTCACACAGAGACCCACAGACTCACCACACAGAGACCCATAGACTCACCACACAGAGACTCACAGACTCACCACACAGAGACCCACAGACTCATCACACAGAGACCCACAGACTCATCACACAGAGACCCACAGACTCACCACGCAGAGACTCACAGACTCACCACGCAAGAGACCCATAGACTCACCACACAGAGACCCATAGACTACTCACACAGAGACCCACAGACTCACCACACAGAGACCCACAGACTCATCACACAGAGACCCACAGACTCACCACACAGAGACCCACAGACTCATCACACAGAGACCCACAGACTCACCACACAGAGACCCACAGACTCACCACACAGAGACCCATAGACTCACCACACAGAGACCCACAGACTCACCACACAGAGACCCACAGACTCATCACACAGAGACCCACAGACTCACCACACAGAGACCCACAGACTCATCACACAGAGACCCACAGACTCACCACACAGAGACCCACAGACTCATCACACAGAGACCCACAGACTCACCACACAGAGACCCACAGACTCACCACACAGAGACCCATAGACTCACCACACAGAGACCCACAGACTCACCACACAGAGACCCACAGACTCATCACACAGAGACCACAGACTCACCACACAGAGACCCACAGACTCATCACACAGAGACCCACTCACACACAGAGACCACACTCACACAGAGACCCACAGACTCATCACACAGAGACCCACAGAACTCATCACACAGAGACCCACAGACTACACACAGAGGACACAGACTACAGACCACAATCACCCACACAGAGACTCACAGACTCACCACACAGAGACCCACAGACTCATCACACAGAGACCACAGACTCATCACACAGGAGACCCAGCAGACTCACCACGCAGAGACTCACAGACTCACCACGCAGAGACCCACAGACTCACCACACAGAGACCCATAGACTACTCAACACAGAGACCCACAGACTCACCACACCAGAGACCCACAGACTCATCACACAGAGACCCACAGACTCACCACACAGAGACCCACAGACTCATCACACAGAGACCCACAGACTCACCCACACAGAGACCCCACAGACTCACCACACAGAGACCCATAGACTCACCACACAGAGACCCACAGACTCACCACACAGAGACCCACAAACTCATCACACAGAGACCCACAGACTCACACACAGAGACCCACAGACTCATCACACAGAGACCCACAGACTCACCACACAGAGACCCACAGACTCATCACACAGAGACCCACAGACTCACCACACAGAGACCCACAGACTCACCACACAGAGACCCATAGACTCACCACACAGAGACCCACAGACTCACCACACAGAGACCCACAGACTCATCACACAGAGACCCACAGACTCACCACACAGAGACCCACAGACTCATCACACAGAGACCCACAGACTCACCACACAGAGACCCACAGACTCACCACACAGAGACCCACAGACTCATCACACAGAGACCCACAGACTCACCACACAGAGACCCACAGACTCACCACACAGAGACCCACAGACTCACCACACAGAGACCCACAGACTCACCACACAGAGACCCACAGACTCATCACACACAGAGACCCACAGACTCACCACACAGAGACCCACAGACTCACCACACAGAGACTCACAGACTCACCACACAGAGACCCACAGACTCATCACACAGAGACCCACAGACTCATCACACAGAGACCCACAGACTCACCACGCAGAGACTCACAGACTCACCACGCAGAGACCCACAGACTCACCACACAGAGACCCATAGACTACTCACACAGAGACCCACAGACTCACCACACAGAGACCCACAGACTCATCACACAGAGACCCACAGACTCACCACACAGAGACCCACAGACTCATCACACAGAGACCCACAGACTCACCACACAGAGACCCACAGACTCACCACACAGAGACCCATAGACTCACCACACAGAGACCCACAGACTCACCACACAGAGACCCACAGACTCATCACACAGAGACCCACAGACTCACCACACAGAGACCCACAGACTCATCACACAGAGACCACAGACTCACCACACAGAGACCCACAGACTCACCACACAGAGACCCACAGACTCATCACACAGAGACCCACAGACTCACCACACAGAGACCCACAGACTCACCACACAGAGACCCACAGACTCACCACACAGAGACCCACAGACTCACCACACAGAGACCCACAGACTCACCACACAGAGACCCACAGACTCACCACACAGAGACCCACAGACTCACCACACAGAGACCCACAGACTCACACAGAAACCCACAGACTCACAATGTCCTCGTTGTGGGGTTGAGGTCAGACGTTCCGTGCCGCTACCTCGCGCAGGCCTCTGTGATCACGTGGGGCCTTAGCAACGCGCTTTTAGAAAAACGTAGAGCAGATAGGCGACCACGTGATGCGTTCCGTATTTAGATTTCGTAGACCTGATAGGCACTGCCCATAGACTCAACACTGCACCATAGACTCAACACTGCACCATAGACTCAACACTGCCCATAGACTCAACACTGCACCATAGACTCAACACTGCACCATAGACTCAACACTGCACCATAGACTCAGCACTGCACCATAGACTCAACACTGCACCATAGACTCAACACTGCACCATAGACTCAACACTGCACCATAGACTCAACACTGCCCATAGACTCAACACTGCACCATAGACTCAGCACTGCACCATAGACTCAACACTGCACCATAGACTCAACACTGCACCATAGACTCAACACCCACTCACTCACCCACTCACTCACTCACCCACCCACCTACTCACCCACCCACTCACCCACCCACTCACCACCCACCCACTCACCCACCCACTCACCACCCACTCACTCACTCACCACCCACTCACTCACCCTCTCACCCACTCACTCACTCACCCACTCACCCACCCACCCACTCACCCACCCACTCACCACCCACTCACTCACCCACCCACCCACCCACTCACCCACCCACCCACTCACTCACTCACCTACCCACCCACCCACTCACCCACCCACTCACTCACCCACCAACCCACCCACCCACTCACTCACCCACCCACTCACCACCCACTCACTCACCCCTCTCACCCACTCACTCACTCACCCACTCACCCACCCACCCACTCACCCACCCACTCACCACCCACTCACTCACCCACCCACCCACCCACTCACCCACCCACCCACTCACTCACTCACCTACCCACCCACCCACTCACCCACCCCACTCACTCACCCACCAACCCACCCACCTACTCACCCATCCACCCACTCACCCACCCACTCACCCACCCACCCACTCACTCAACCACTCACCCATTCACTCACTCACTCACCCACCCACCCACTCACCACCCACTCACCACCCACTCACTCACCCACCCACTCATTCACTCACCCACTCACCCACCCACTCACCCACCCACCCACTCACCCACTCACCCACCTACTCACCACCCACTCCCTCACCCACTCACTCACTCACCCACTCACCCACTCACTCACTCACCCACTCACCACCCACCCACTCACCCACCCACTCACTCACTCACCCACCCACCCACTCACCCACCTACTCACCCACCCACCCACTCACCCACCCACCCACTCACCCACTCACTCACTTACCCACCCACTCACCCACCCACTCACCCACCCACCCACCCACTCACTCACCCACTCACCCACCCACCCACCCACTCACTCACTTACCCACCCACTCACCCACCCACCCACTCACCCACCCACCCACCCACTCACCCACCCACCCACCACCCACTCACTCACCCACTCACCCACCCACTCACTCACCCACCCACTCACTCACCCACCCACTCACCATCCACTCACTCACCCACATCGCGTGGGATCGAGTTAATCGGCAGGCGGATCGCCAGCGCAGGTAATCGATGAATCGATTCCAGGCCGCGTCCCATATAAAAGTGCGTGGTCCGATACAGGAAGTGGGTTGAAGAGACGTCGCTTCTCGCTACAAACAACAAACACTACAAACTACTAACTACTACTCACTAATTACTAATAGCTACTACTTACCACTTACTAACTACTTACTAACTAATTACTAACTACTACTAACAAAAACAACTACCACTACTTACTAGCTACTATCACTACTTAACTACCACTACTAACTACTACTAACTACTACTACTTACTAGCTACTAACAAACAACTACCACTACTTACTACCAACTAACTAACTACTACTAACAACTCACAACTACTACCTACAACTAACCAGCTACCTAACTAGCTAACTACTATTAACTACAACTTTCTACTAGGTATCTACTAACTACTACTAACTACCACTAACTAACTACCACTAACTACCACTACTACTACCTACAATAATGAGCAGTTACAACTGCAGTGGTGCCAGTGGTGGCAATACTACCGCTGATACTACTACTAATACTACTAATACTACCGCTGATACTACTAATACTACCGCTGATACTACTACTAATACTACTAATACTACCGCTGATACTACTACTAATACTACTAATACTACCGCTGATACAATCGCTGCTGCTACGTCTACTGATACTACTACTGCTGCTGCTGCGACTGATGCTACTACTACTGCTGCTGCTAGTACTGCTGCTACTACTACGACTACTTCTACGACTACTGCTGCTGCTGCTACTGCTGCTACTACTACGACTACTTCTACGACTACTGCTTGCTGCTGCTGCGACTGCTATAACTCTGGAAGTGACTCCAATGTACTTGGCGTTGCCCGTGTGGCTACTGCGAGACGGGGTGAGTCGCGGGTCGGCCGTTATATATATTACAACAAAAACTCACAACACCTTGGTTCTACTGATGTATTAGGACCCTTATAGGGGTTATTAGGACCTTTATAGGGGTTATTGTAACGTTTATCTGGGCTTTTAGGACCCTTATAGGGTTATTTGAACCCTTATAGGGTTACTAGCGGGAAGTACCCGGCGTTGCCCGGGTCTTAAAACTACTCTTAACAATCTAACAGCGGTGCATACTGACTGTGGTGGTACCTGCTATGATTACAGCAGTACATACTGACGGTGACCCCGGCGACCTCCGCGACCCCGGTGACCCCCGCGACCCCGGTGACCCCCACGACCCCGGTGACCCCGGTGCGGCCCCACTCGGCCTACGCGCTCTTCTTCCACGACACTCTGGCGGCCGTCAGGGGCCAGCACCCTGACGTCTCCTTCGGGGAGGCCTCGCGCATCGCCGCCAACACGTGGGGCAGCCTCGCCCACCAGCACAAGCAGGTGCTCCTCGTGGTGGTGGTGGTGGTGGGGGTGGTGGTGGTGGTGGTGGTGGGGGTGGTGGTGGGGGTGGTGGTGGTGGTGGATGTGGTGGTGGTGGGGGTGGTGGTGGTGGTGGTGGGGTGGTGGGGGTGGTGGGGGTGGTGGTGGTGGACGTGGGGGTGGTGGTGGTGGTGGGGGTGGTGGTGGGGGTGGTGGTGGTGGTGGATGTGGTGGTGGTGGTGGTGGTGGTGGGGGTGGTGGTGGTGGTGGATGTGGTGGTGGTGGGGGTGGTGGTGGTGGTGGATGTGGTGGTGGTGGGGGTGGTGGTGGTGGTGGTGGATGTGGTGGTGGTGGTGGTGGTGGGGGTGGTGGGGTGGTGGTGGGGGTGGTGGTGGTGGTGGGGGTGGTGGGGGTGGTGGTGGGGGTGGTGGTGGTGGTGGGGGTGGTGGTGGTGGTGGTGGTGGGGGTGGTGGTGGGGGTGGTGGTGGTGGTGGTGGATGTGGTGGTGGTGGGGGTGGTGGTGGTGGTGGTGGGGGTGGTGGGGGTGGTGGGGGTGGTGGGGGTGGTGGTGGTGGACGTGGGGGTGGTGGGGGTGGTGGTGGTGGTGGTGGATGTGGTGGTGGTGGTGGACGTGGTGATGGTGGTGGTTGTCGACGTGGTGGTGGTGGACGTGGTGGTGGTGGTGGTGGATGTGGAAATGGTGGAGGTGGTGACGATGATGATCCTCCGAGTGGTGTCGGTGTATTTGGTTTCACAAGCAGACGAACTTACACAGAGACAGTAACCCTGAGACCCGATCTCTATACTAGACGCTGAGACCCTGAGACCCTGAGACCCGATCTCTATACTAGACGCTGAGACCCTGAGACCCGGTCTCTACTCTAGACCCTGAGACCCTTAGACCCTGAGACCCTGAGACCCGGTCTCTACTCTAGACGCCGAGACCCTGAGACCCTGAGACCCTGAGACCCGGTCTCCACTCTAGACGCCGAGACCCTGAGACCCTGAGACCCGGTCTCTACTCTAGACCCTGAGACCCTGAGACCCTGAGACCCTGAGACCCGGTCTCCACTCTAGACGCCGAGACCCTGAGACCCTGAGACCCGGTCTCTACTCTAGACCCTGAGACCCTGAGACCCTGAGACCCTGAGACCCGGTCTCCACTCTAGACGCCGAGACCCTGAGACCCTGAGACCCTGAGACCCTGAGACCCGGTCTCCACTCTAGACGCCGAGACCCTGAGACCCTGAGACCCGGTCTCTACTCTAGACCCTGAGACCCGGTCTCTACTCTAGACACAGAGACCCTGAGACCCGGTCTCTACTCTAGACCCTGAGACCCTGAGACCCAGTCTCGACTGACCTGGTTCGCTTTCCGTTTTGTTTTGCGTCTCGCAGGTTTACAAGAAGAAGGCTGACGATGCCAAGAAGGAATATCTGAAGGCGTCGGTGGCCTACAAGGCCAAGTTAGCCGCCAAGGTGAGGAGTCGGAAGCACGAGCAGCAGCAGAAGCGTCGTCGGTTCGTTCGTACGGAGTCTCACCCCCAGGGTCTAGAGTAGAGACCGGGTCTCAGGGTCTCAGGGTCTAGAGTAGAGACCGGGTCTCAGGGTCTAGAGTAGAGACCGGGTCTCAGGGTCTAGAGTAGAGACCGGGTCTCAGGGTCTCAGCGTCTAGAGTAGAGACCGGGGGTCAGGGTCTAGAGTAGAGACTGGGGGTCAGGGTCTAGAGTAGAGACCGGGGGTCAGGGTCTAGAGTAGAGACCGGGTCTCAGGGTCTAGAGTAGAGACCGGGTCTCAGGGTCTCAGCGTCTAGAGTAGAGACCGGGTCTCAGGGTCTAGAGTAGAGACCGGGTCTCAGGGTCTAGAGTAGAGACCGGGTCTCAGGGTCTAGAGTAGAGGACCGGGTCTCAGGGTCTCAGCGTCTAGAGTAGAGACGGGTCTCAGGGTCTAGAGTAGAGACCGGGTCTCAGGGTCTAGAGTAGAGACCGGGTCTCAGGGTCTAGAGTAGAGACCGGGTCTCAGGGTCTAGAGTAGAGACCGGGTCTCAGGGTCTAGAGTAGAGACCGGGTCTCAGGGTCTAGAGTAGAGACCGGGTCTCAGGGTCTCAGCGTCTAGAGTAGAGACCGGGTCTCAGGGTCTCAGTGTCTAGAGTAGAGACCGGGTCTCAGGGTCTCAGAGTCTCAGTGTCTAGAGTAGAGACCGGGTCTCAGGGTCTCAGGGTTTCAGGGTCTCAGGGTCTAGAGTGGAGACCAGGTCTCAGGGTCTAGAATGGGGACCGCGTCTCAGGGTCTCAGAGTCTCAGGGTCTCAGGGTCTCAGGGTCTCAGGGTCTAGAGTAGAGACCGGGTCTCAGGGTCTCAGGGTCTAGAGTGGGGACCGGGTCTCAGGGTCTCAGGGTCTCAGGGTCTCAGGGTCTAGAGTAGAGACCGGGTCTCAGGGTCTCAGGGTCTCAGGGTCTAGAGTGGGGACCGGGTCTCAGGGTCTCAGGGTCTAGAGTGGGGACCGGGTCTCAGGGTCAGAGTCTAGAGTAGAGACCGGGTCTCAGGGTCTCAGAGTCTCAGGGTCTAGAGTAGAGACCGGGTCTCAGGGTCTCAGAGTCTCAGGGTCTCAGGGTCTCAGGGTCTAGAGTAGAGACCGGGTCTCAGGGTCTCAGCGTCTAGAGTAGAGACCGGGTCTCAGGGTCTCAGGGTCTCAGAGTCTCAGGGTCTCAGGGTCTCAGGGTCTAGAGTGGAGACCGGGTCTCAGGGTCTCAGAGTCTCAGTGTCTAGAGTGGAGACCAGGTCTCAGGGTCTCAGGGTCTCAGGGTCTAGAATGGGGACCGCGTCTCAGGGTCTCAGAGTCTCAGGGTCTCAGGGTCTCAGGGTCTCAGGGTCTAGAGTAGAGACCGGGTCTCAGGGTCTCAGAGTCTCAGTGTCTAGAGTAGAGACCGGGTCTCAGGGTCTCAGGGTTTCAGGGTCTCAGGGTCTAGAGTGGAGACCAGGTCTCAGGGTCTCAGGGTCTAGAATGGGGACCGCGTCTCAGGGTCTCAGAGTCTCAGGGTCTCAGGGTCTCAGGGTCTCAGGGTCTAGAGTAGAGACCGGGTCTCAGGGTCTCAGGGTCTAGAGTGGGGACCGGGTCTCAGGGTCTCAGGGTCTAGAGTGGGGACCGGGTTTCAGGGTCTCAGGGTCTCAGGGTCTCAGGGTCTAGAGTAGAGACCGGGTCTCAGGGTCTCAGGGTCTCAGGGTCTAGAGTGGGGACCGGGTCTCAGGGTCTCAGGGTCTAGAGTGGGGACCGGGTCTGAGGGTCTCAGGGTCTCAGGGTCTAGAGTAGAGACCGGGTCTCAGGGTCAGAGTCTAGAGTAGAGACCGGGTCTCAGGGTCTCAGAGTCTCAGGGTCTAGAGTAGAGACCGGGTCTCAGGGTCTCAGAGTCTCAGGGTCTCAGGGTCTAGAGTAGAGACCGGGTCTCAGGGTCTCAGCGTCTAGAGTAGAGACCGGGTCTCAGAGTCTCAGGGTCTCAGGGTCTCAGGGTCTAGAGTAGAGACCGGGTCTCAGGGTCTCAGCGTCTAGAGTAGAGACCGGGTCTCAGGGTCTCAGGGTCTCAGAGTCTCAGGGTCTCAGGGTCTCAGGGTCTAGAGTGGAGACCGGGTCTCAGGGTCTCAGAGTCTCAGTGTCTAGAGTGGAGACCAGGTCTCAGGGTCTCAGGGTCTCAGGGTCTAGAATGGGGACCCGCGTCTCAGGGTCTCAGAGTCTCAGGGTCTCAGGGTCTCAGGGTCTCAGGGTCTAGAGTAGAGACCGGGTCTCAGGGTCTCAGGGTCTCAGGGTCTAGAGTGGGGACCGGGTCTCAGGGTCTCAGGGTCTCAGGGTCTAGAGTGGGGACCGGGTCTCAGGGTCTCAGGGTCTCAGGGTCTAGACCGGGTCTCAGGGTCTCAGGGTCTCAGGGTCTAGAGTGGAGACCGGGTCTCAGGGTCTCAGGGTCTCAGGGTCTAGAGTGGGGACCGGGTCTCAGGGTCTCAGGGTCTAGAGTGGGGACCGGGTCTCAGGGTCTCAGGGTCTCAGGGGTCTCAGGGTCTTAGGGTCTAGAGTGGGGACCGGGTCTCAGGGTCTCAGGGTCTCAAGGTCTAGAGTGGGGACCGAGTCTCAGGGTCTCAGGGTCTCAGGGTCTCAGAGTCTCAGGGTCTAGAGTGGGGACCGGGTCTCAGGGTCTCAGGGTCTCAGGGTCTAGAGTGGAGACCGGGTCTCAGGGTCTCAGGGTCTCAGGGTCTAGAGTGGGGACCGGGTCTCAGGGTCTCAGGGTCTCAGGGTCTAGAGTGGGGACCGGGTCTCAGGGTCTCAGGGTCTAGAGTGGGGACCGGGTCTCAGGGTCTCAGGGTCTCAGGGTCTCAGGGTCTAAAGTGGGGGACCGGGTCTCAGGGTCTCAGGGTCTCAAGGTCTAGAGTGGGGACCGAGTCTCAGGGTCTCAGGGTCTCAGGGTCTCAGAGTCTCAGGGTCTAGAGTGGGGACCGGGTCTCAGGGTCTCAGGGTCTAGAGTGGAGACCGGGTCTCAGGGTCTCAGGGTCTCAGGGTCTAGAGTGGGGACCGGGTCTCAGGGTCTCAGGGTCTAGAGTGGAGACCGGGTCTCAGGGTCTCAGGGTCTCAGGGTCTCAGCGTCTCATGGTCTCAGGGTCTCAGGGTCTAGAGTAGAGACCGGGTCTCAGGGGCTCAGGGTCTCAAGGTCTCAGAGTCTCAGGGTCTCAGAGTGGAGACTGGGGTGTGACGTCATCCCGGCCGCTCCCCCAGGACCGTGCTGCTACTGCTGCCACGGTGACGCCACCGCCACCACCACCGGCCGCACGCTTGCCGCACTCAGGAACGCCGCGGCTTGTCCCGTTCTACGGAACGCCGGGCGGGACGGGGGTTCTCCTCCTGTCTACCGCCACCACCATCACCACCTCCTCCACCTCCTCCTCCTCCTGCTCCTCCACCACCTCCTCCTCCTCCTGCTCCTCCACCTCCTCCACCTCCTCCACCTCCTCCACCTCCTCCACCTCCTGCTCCTCCACCACCTCCTCCTCCTCCACCTCCTCTGACGTCATCTTGACACGATTCCTGTCGGCAAAAACAACAACCACCACCACCACATCCTCCTCTCACGTCTTCGCCACCACAAGCACCACCTCAGCCGTCGGCAGCCGCCAGGTACCACAACCACCAACCACAAGCACTAATCACAACCACCAACCACAAGCACTAATCACAACCACCAACCACAACCACCAACCACAACCACCAACCACAACCACCAACCACAACCACCAACCACAACCACTAATCACAACCACCAACCACAACCACCAACCACAACCACCAACCACAACCACCAACCACATCCACCAACCACTAGCACTAATCACAACCACCAACCACAACCACCAACCACAACCACCAACCACAACCACCAACCACAACCACCAACCACAACCACTAATCACAACCACCAACCACAAGCACTAATCACAACCACCAACCACAACCACCAACCACAACCACCAACCACAACCACCAACCACTAGCACTAATCACAACCACCAACCACAACCACCAACCACAACCACCAACCACAACCACAACCACCAACCACAACCACCAACCACAACCACCAACCACTAGCACTAATCACAACCACCAACCACAACCACCAATCACAACCACCAACCACAACCACCAACCACAACCACCAACCACTAGCACTAATCACAACCACCAACCACAACCACTAATCACAACCACCAACCACAACCACCAACCACAAGCACTAATCACAACCACCAACCACAACCACCAACCACTAGCACTAATCACAACCACCAACCACAACCACCAACCACAACCACTAATCACAACCACCAACCACTAGCACTAATCACAACCACCAACCACTAGCACTAATCACAACCACCAACCACAACCACCACCGCCCTTGGCTTGTCAAGCAATCGCTCACAAACTCACTCACTCAATTTGTCAGTCTGTGGGTCTCTACTGTGTGAGTAGTCCTGTGGGTCTCTACTGTGTGAGTAGTCTGTGGGTCTCTACTGTGTGAGTAGTCTGTGGGTCTCTACTGTGTGAGTAGTCTGTGGGTCTCTACTGTGTGAGTAGTATGTGGGTCTCTACTGTGTGAGTAGTCTGTGGGTCTCTACTGTGTGAGTAGTCTGTGGGTCTCTACTGTGTGAGTAGTCTGTGGGTCTCTACTGTGTGAGTAGTATGTGGGTCTCTACTGTGTGAGTAGTCTGTGGGTCTCTACTGTGTGAGTAGTATGTGGGTCTCTACTGTGTGAGTAGTCTGTGGGTCTCTACTGTGTGTGTAGTCTGTGGGTCTCTACTGTGTGAGTAGTCTGTGGGTCTCTACTGTGTGTGTAGTCTGTGGGTCTCTACTGTGTGAGTACTCTGTGGGTCTCTACTGTGTGAGTAGTCTGTGGGTCTCTACTGTGTGTGTAGTCTGTGGGTCTCTACTGTGTGAGTAGTCTGTGGGTCTCTACTGTGTGAGTAGTCTGTGGGTCTCTACTGTGTGTGAGTAGTCTGTGGGTCTCTACTGTGTGAGTAGTCTGTGGGTCTCTACTGTGTGAGTAGTCTGTGGGTCTCTACTGTGTGAGTAGTCTATGGGTCTCTACTGTGTGTAGTCTGTGGGTCTCTACTGTGTGTGTGTAGTCTGTGGGTCTCTACTGTGTGAGTAGTCTGGGTCTCTACTGTGTGAGTAGTCTGTGGGTCTCTACTGTGTGAGTAGTCTGTGGGTCTCTACTGTGTGAGTAGTCTGTGGGTCTCTACTGTGTGAGTAGTCTGTGGGTCTCTACTGTGTGAGTAGTCTGTGGGTCTCTACTGTGTGAGTAGTCTGTGGGTCTCTACTGTGTGAGTAGTCTGTGGGTCTCTACTGTGTGAGTAGTCTGTGGGTCTCTACTGTGTGAGTAGTCTGTGGGTCTCTACTGTGTGAGTAGTCTGTGGGTCTCTACTGTGTGAGTAGTCTGTGGGTCTCTACTGTGTGAGTAGTCTGTGGGTCTCTACTGTGTGAGTAGTCTGTGGGTCTCTACTGTGAGTAGTCTGTGGGTCTCTACTGTGTGAGTAGTCTGTGGGTCTCTACTGTGTGAGTAGTCTGTGGGTCTCTACTGTGTGAGTAGTCTGTGGGTCTCTACTGTGTGAGTAGTCTGTGGGTCTCTACTGTGTGAGTAGTCTGTGGGTCTCTGTGTGAGTAGTCTGTGGGTCTCTACTGTGTGAGTAGTCTGTGGTCTCTACTGTGTGAGTAGTCTGTGGGTCTCTACTGTGTGAGTAGTATGTGGGTCTCTACTGTGTGAGTAGTCTGTGGGTCTCTACTGTGTGAGTAGTCTGTGGGTCTCTACTGTGTGAGTAGTCTGTGGGTCTCTACTGTGTGTAGTCTGTGGGTCTCTACTGTGTGAGTAGTCTGTGGGTCTCTACTGTGTGAGTAGTCTGTGGGTCTCTACTGTGTGAGTAGTCTGTGGGTCTCTACTGTGTGAGTAGTCTGTGGGTCTCTACTGTGTGAGTAGTCTGTGGGTCTCTACTGTGAGTAGTCTGTGGGTCTCTACTGTGTGAGTAGTCTGTGGGTCTCTACTGTGTGAGTAGTCTGTGGGTCTCTACTGTGTGAGTAGTCTGTGGTCTCTACTGTGTGAGTAGTCTGGGGGCTCTACTGTGGTGAGTAGTCTATGGGTCTCTATGTGTGAGTAGTCTGTGGGTCTTCTGTGTGGTGTAGTCTGTGGGTCTCTGCTGTGTGAGTAGTAGTATGTGGGTCGCTACTGTGTGAGTAGTCGTGGGTCTCTACTGTGTGAGTAGTCTGTGGGTCTCTGCTGTGTGAGTAGTCTGTTGGTCTCTACTGTGTGAGTAGTCTGTGGGTCTCTACTGGTGTGAGTAGGTCTGTGGGTCTCTACTGTGTGAGTAGTCTGTGGGTCTCTACTGTGTAGTAGTCTGTGGGTCTCTCTGTGTGAGTAGTCTGTGGGTCTCTACTGTGTGAGTAGTCTGTGGGTCTCTACTGTGTGAGTAGTCTGTGGGTCTCTAATGTGTGAGTAAGTCTGTGGGTCTCTACTGTGTGAGTAGTCTGTGGGTCTCTACTGTGTGAGTAGTCTGGTGGGTCTCTACTGTGTGGAGTAGTCTGTGGTCTCTACTGTGTGAGTAGTCTGGGGGTCCTACTGTGAGCTGTGTGTAGTCGGTGGGTCTCTACTGTGTGAGTAGTATGTGGGTCTCTACTGTGTGAGTAGTCTGTGGGTCTCTACTGTGTGAGTAGTCTGTGGGTCTCTGCTGTGTGAGTAGTCTGTGGGTCTCTACTGTGTGAGTAGTCTGTGGGTCTCTACTGTGTGAGTAGTCTGTGGGTCTCTACTGTGTGAGTAGTCTGTGGGTCTCTACTGTGTGAGTAGTCTGTGGGTCTCTACTGTGTGAGTAGTCTGTGGGTCTCTACTGTGTGAGTAGTCTGTGGGTCTCTACTGTGTGAGTAGTCTGTGGGTCTCTACTGTGTGAGTAGTCTGTGGGTCTCTACTGTGTGGAGTAGTCTGTGGGTCTCTACTGTGTGAGTAGTCTGTGGGTCTCTACTGTGTGAGTAGTCTGTGGGTCTCTACTGTGTGAGTAGTCTGTGGGTCTCTACTGTGTGAGTAGTCTGTGGGTCTCTACTGTGTGAGTAGTCTGTGGGTCTCTGCTGTGTGAGTAGTCTGTGGGTCTCTACTGTGTGAGTAGTCTGTGGGTCTCTACTGTGTGAGTAGTCTGTGGGTCTCTACTGTGTGAGTAGTCTGTGGGTATCTACTGTGTGAGTAGTATGTGGGTCTCTACTGTGTGAGTAGTCTGTGGGTCTCTACTGTGTGAGTAGTCTGTGGGGTCTCTACTGTGTGAGTAGTCTGTGGGTCTCCTGCTGTGTGAGTAGTCTGTGGGTCTCTACTGTGTGAGTAGTCTGTGGGTCTCTACTGTGTGAGTAGTCTGTGGGTCTCTACTGTGTGAGTAGTATGTGGGTCTCTACTGTGTGAGTAGTCTGTGGGTCTCTACTGTGTGAGTAGTCTGTGGGTCTCTACTGTGTGAGTAGTCTGTGGGTCTCTACTGTGTGAGTAGTCTGTGGGTCTCTATGTGTGAGTAGTCTGTGGGTCTCTGCTGTGTGAGTAGTCTGTGGGTCTCTACTGTGTGAGTAGTCTGTGGGTCTCTACTGTGTGAGTAGTCTGTGGTTCTCTACTGTGTGAGTAGTCTGTGGGTCTCTACTGTGTGAGTAGTCTGTGGGTCTCTACTGTGTGAGTAGTCTGTGGGTCTCTGTGTGTGAGTAGTCTGTGGGTCTCTACTGTGTGAGTAGTCTGTGGGTCTCTACTGTGTGAGTAGTCTGTGGGTCTCTACTGTGTGAGTAGTCTGTGGGTCTCTGTGTGAGTAGTCTATGAGTCTCTATGAGTAGTCTATGGGTCTCTGTGTGAGTAGTCTATGGGTCTCTGTGTGAGTAGTCTGTGGGTCTCTGTGTGAGTAGTCTATGGGTCTCTGTGTGAGTAGTCTATGGGTCTCTGTGTGAGTAGTCTATGGGTCTCTGTGTGAGTAGTCTGTGGGTCTCTGTGTGAGTAGTCTATGGGTCTCTGTGCGGTGAGTCTGTGGGTCTCTATGTGAGTAGTCTATGAGTCTCTATGAGTAGTCTATGGGTCTCTGTGTGAGTAGTCTGTGGGTCTCTGTGTGAGTAGTCTGTGGGTCTCTGTGTGAGTAGTCTATGAGTCTCTATGAGTAGTCTATGGGTCTCTGTGTGAGTAGTCTATGGGTCTCGTGTGAGTAGTCTATGGGTCTCTGTGTGAGTAGTCTATGGGTCTCTATGTGAGTAGTATATGGGTCTCTGTGTGAGTCTATGGGTCTCTGTGTGAGTAGTCTATGGGTCTCTGTGTGAGTAGTCTGTGGGTCTCTGTGTGAGTAGTCTATGGGTTTCTGTGTGAGTAGTCTATGGGTCTCTGTGTGAGTAGTCTGTGGGTCTCTGTGTGAGTAGTCTATGGGTCTCTGTGTGAGTAGTCTATGGGTCTCTGTGTGAGTAGTCTATGGGTCTCTGTGTGAGTAGTCTGTGGGTCTCTGTATGAGTAGTCTATGGGTCTCTGTGTGATGAGTCTGTGTGTCTCTGTGTGGTGAGTCTGTGGGTCTCTGTGTGGTGAGTCTGTGGGTCTCTGTGTGGTGAGTCTGTGGGTCTCTGTGTGGTGAGTCTATGGGTCTCTGTGTGAGTAGTCTGTGGGTCTCTGTGTGAGTAGTCTATGGGTCTCTGTGTGAGTAGTCTGTGGGTCTCTGTGTGAGTAGTCTATGGGTCTCTATGTGTGAGTAGTCTGTGGGTCTCTGTGTGAGTAGTCTATGAGTCTCTGTGTGAGTAGTCTGTGGGTCTCTGTGTGAGTAGTCTATGGGTCTCTGTGTGAGTAGTCTGTGGGTCTTGTGTGAGTAGTCTATGGGTCTCTGTGTGAGTAGTCTGTGGGTCTCTGTGTGAGTAGTGTATGAGTCTCTGTGTGAGTAGTCTGTGGGTCTCTGTGTGAGTAGTCTATGAGTCTCTGTGTGAGTAGTCTATGGGTCTCTGTGTGAGTAGTCTATGGGTCTCTGTGTGAGTAGTCTGTGGGTCTCTGTGTGAGTAGTCTATGGGTCTCTGTGTGAGTAGTTTATGGGGTCTCTGTGTGAGTAGTCTATGGGTCTCTGTGTGAGTAGTCTGTGGGTCTCTGTGTGAGTAGTCTGTGGGTCTCTGTGTGAGTAGTCTGTGCGTCTCTGTGTGAGTAGTCTGTGGGTCTTCTGTGTGAGTAGTCTGTGCGTCTCTGTGTGAGTAGTCTGTGGGTCTCTGTGTGAGTAGTCTATGGGTCTGTGTGAGTAGTCTGTGGGTCTCTGTGTGAGTAGTCTGTGGGTCTCTATGTGAGTAGTCTATGGGTCTGTGTGAGTAGTCTGTGGGTCTCTGTGTGAGTAGTCTATGGGTCTGTGTGAGTAGTCTGTGCGTCTCTGTGTGAGTAGTCTGTGGGTCTCTGTGTGAGTAGTCTATGGGTCTGTGTGAGTAGTCTGTGGGTCTCTGGTGTGAGTAGTCTCTGGGTCTCTGTGTGAGTAGTCTGTGGGTCTCTGTGTGAGTAGTCTGTGCGTCTCTGTGTGAGTAGTCTGTGGGTCTCTGTGTGAGTAGTCTATGGGTCTCTACTGTGTGAGTAGTCTGTGGGTCTCTGTGTGAGTAGTCTGTGGGTCTCTGTGTGAGTAGTCTGTGGGTCTCTGTGTGAGTAGTCTGTGGGTCTCTGTGTGAGTAGTCTGTGGGTCTCTGTGTGAGTAGTCTGTGGGTCTCTGTGTGAGTAGTCTATGGGTCTGTGTGAGTAGTCTGTGGGTCTCTGTGTGAGTAGTCTGTGGGTCTGTGTGAGTAGTCTGTGGGTCTCTGTGTGAGCAGTCTGTGGGTCTCTATGTGAGTAGTCTATGGGTCTGTGTGAGTAGTCTGTGGGTCTCTGTGTGAGTAGTCTATGGGTCTGTGTGAGTAGTCTATGGGTCTCTGTGTGAGTAGTCTATGGGTCTCTGTGTGAGTAGTCTGTGGGTCTCTGTGTGAGTAGTCTGTGGGTCTCTATGTGAGTAGTCTATGGGTCTGTGTGAGTAGTCTGTGGGTCTCTGTGTGAGTAGTCTATGGGTCTGTGTGAGTAGTCTATGGGTCTCTGTGTGAGTAGTCTATGGGTCTCTGTGTGAGTAGTCTGTGGGTCTCTGTGTGAGTAGTCTATGGGTCTGTGTGAGTAGTCTGTGGGTCTCTGTGTGAGTAGTCTATGGGTCTGTGTGAGTAGTCTATGGGTCTCTGTGTGAGTAGTCTATGGGTCTCTGTGTGAGTAGTCTGTGGGTCTCTGTGTGAGTAGTCTGTGGGTCTCTGTGTGAGTAGTCTGTGGGTATCTGTGTGAGTAGTCTGTGGGTCTCTGTGTGAGTAGTCTATGGGTCTGTGTGAGTAGTCTATGGGTCTCTGTGTGAGTAGTCTATGGGTCTCTGTGTGAGTAGTCTGTGGGTCTCTGTGTGAGTAGTCTATGGGTCTGTGTGAGTAGTCTATGGGTCTGTGTGAGTAGTCTATGGGTCTCTGTGTGAGTAGTCTGTGGGTCTCTGTGTGAGTAGTCTGTGGGTCTCTATGTTGTTCCTCCAGTCTTGTAGGAGAGGAAGAAGAGGAGTAAGACCCGGTGCGGATCCCGCGGATCGGACTGCAGGAGCCGGGCTGACTCTGGCTCTGTGCTCCCGATCCGGATGCCGGAACTTGCCTGTGGAGAACAGCGACTGGGATCTGGAGTATTGCAGCAGTGAGTGTGTGGTACAGCACTGCAGGTGTGTGTACGTGTGTGTCTGTGTGTCTGTGTGTGTGTGTCTGTGTGTCTGTGTGTGTGTGTGTCTGTGTGTGTGTCTGTGTGTGTGTGTGTCCGTGTGTGTGTGTGTCTGTGTGTGTGTCTGTGTGTGTGTCTGTGTGTGTGTGTCTGTGTGTGTGTGTCTGTGTGTGTGTGTGTCTGTGTGTGTGTGTCTGTGTGTGTGTGTCTGTGTGTGTGTGTCTGTGTGTGTGTCTGTGTGTGTGTGTCTGTGTGTGTGTGTCTGTGTGTGTGTGTCTGTGTGTGTGTGTCTGTGTGTGTGTGTATGTGTGTGTGTCTGTGTGTGTCTGTGTGTGTCTGTGTGTGTCTGTGTGTGTGTGTCTGTGTGTGTGTGTCTGTGTGTGTGTGTCTGTGTGTCTGTGTGTGTGTGTGTATTGACCTGGTCAAGGCCTATGATACCATCAATAGGCCTGGACTCTGGGTTGTTCTTCGTGCTTTCGGAGTCCCTGACCCTCTGCTCACGATCATTAAGGACCTTCATGATGGTGAGCGGGCCCGGGTAAAACTACGTGGCCGGGAGTCGGAGCCTTTCCCTGTATACCTTGGGGTGCGACAGGGATGTCCTCTGGCTCCCACATTATTTAACATCTATTTTGACCGCGTAGTTCGTGAAGCCTTCAATAGCTGTGTAGTGGGTTCGAATTAGGTGCACACACATGCAGCTTGGAGGCAACACTATTTATTAAACGGTAAGTAATATAACACTGTACATGAGGTGGTGACCACCTTCCTCAACTCACTAACACTCTGGAACGCGACACAGACTGGACCAGGCAGGCAACGGCCTGCCTGGTCCAGGACGACGACTCGGGACTTGACGACCGATGATGTCTTCACTTTGGAATACAGTACAACAGCCTCGCTCAGCGTTCACACCACGCTTATATCTGCTTTGGCGTGGCCGGCTCCGTCCAGGCCACGCCTCCCTTCCCCCACCTCTGGGAAGGTCCGGATCCCTCCACCACGTGACCCCCCAGGCACCCCCTTGGGGCCCCCAGCCCTCGTACGTGCCGACACAGTAGTGACCGTTCTATGTCACTACAGTTGTACCGGGGGAATTTTCATTTGGTACAGATATAATGGGAGGCTGATCGACGCCCGGGTGCGATCAAGGGATGGCTCCCTATTGGTCAACCACGTTATGTATGCCGATGATTTGGTAATAGCTGCTCATTCAGAAGAGGAGTTGGAGACGCTGCTGCTGAGACTGGAGCGTGCCACTAAGAGGTGGGGCCTTACCATCAGCCCCACCAAAACTAAGCACCTGCCTGGGTAGTTTGTACCATCGGGCAGTCCACCCCCACAACTCCCAGTCGGTGATGGGGAAGTTGTGGAGAGAGTGGAGAGTTTCCCATACCTGGGCAGAGGTCTCACTCCGAATCAGTCGAGCGGCAATATCTTTTCATCGGTTGCGTAACGCTGTGTGGAAGCTACCTGGTCTGTCGCTCCGCACGAAGCTTCAGGTCTTCTCGGCCACGTTCATTCCCTCCCTTCTCTACGCTTGCGAAACGTGGACCCCCCTAGTGGAGCATCTTCACCGGTTGGAAACATTTAGGCTGGCCTGCCTACGATCCATCCTGGGTTTAACCAGGCTGGATTGTGTGAGGAGCTCACAAATCCTTGAAAGATCTGGGAAAAGTCCCATCGGTGAGCTCCTCCGGCAGGCAAGGCTGCATTGGCTGGGTCATGTAGCCCGCATGCCCAGCTACCGCATCCTTAAACAGCTTTTGTTCGGTCGGATCGAGGGGGCTAAACGGGCGCGGCACGGGCTAGAGAAGAGATGGAGTGATGTGGTACAGGAGGACGTGGAGGTGAGTGGACTTGCCGATGACTGGTACCAGCCGTGTCAAGAACGGGCTCAGTGGAGGAGGCTCGTGAAGGACGTTACTGGGCAGTTGGAGGCAGTCGCCCTCCAACAACAACGGAGGGCGGAGGAGCGACGCTCACAACAACGAGCGGAGCGCCGGGTGCGTCTGCCCTGTGACCTCCTGCCAGCGGGCGTTCGACACTTCACGTGGCCTCAAGGTGCACATGGCCTGGCACAAGCGTCGTGGTGACGTCACCGCCACTTAGTCGCGAATGGCGGTTGTTGTTGTTGTTGTTGTGTGTCTGTGTGTGTGTCTGTGTGTGTGTCTGTGTGTGTGTCTGTGTGTGTGTGTCTGTGTGTGTGTCTGTGTGTGTGTCTGTGTGTGTGTGTGTCTCTGTGTGTGTGTCTGTGTGTGTGTCTGTGTGTGTATCTGTGTGTGTGTGTGTTTGTGTCGCCATGGCGATGTGCTCTGTCCGCAGGACGGTGTTCCTCTCGTGGCTGTCGGACCGACTCCAACGTGGCGCACCGTGATCCCATCGACTCTTCACACAGAGACCCATAGACCACTCATAGAGACCCATCGACTCCTCACACAGAGACCCATAGACCACTCATAGAGACCCATCGACTCCTCACACAGAGACCCATAGACCACTCATAGAGACCCATCGACTCCTCACACAGAGACCCATAGACCACTCATAGAGACCCATCGACTCCTCACACAGAGACCCATAGACCACTCATAGAGATCCATTGATTCCTCACACAGAGACCCATAGACCACTCATAGAGACCCATCGACTCCTCACACAGAGACCCATAGACCACTCATAGAGACCCATCGACTCCTCACACAGAGACCCATAGACCACTCATAGAGACCCATCGACTCCTCACACAGAGACCCATAGACCACTCATAGAGACCCATCGACTCCTCACACAGAGACCCATAGACCACTCATAGAGACCCATCGACTCCTCACACAGAGACCCATAGACCACTCATAGAGATCCATTGATTCCTCACACAGAGACCCATAGACCACTCATAGAGACCCATCGACTCCTCACACAGAGACCCATAGACCACTCATAGAGACCCATCGACTCCTCACACAGAGACCCATAGACCACTCATAGAGACCCATCGACTCCTCACACAGAGACCCATAGACCACTCATAGAGACCCATAGACTCCTCACACAGAGACCCATAGACCACTCATAGAGACCCATTGATTCCTCACACAGAGACCCATAGACCACTCATACAGACCCATCGACTCCTCACACAGAGACCCATAGACCACTCATAGAGACCCATAGACTCCTCACACAGAGACCCATAGACCACTCATAGAGACCCATAGACCACTCATAGAGACCCATAGACTACTCATAGAGACCCATAGACTACTCATAGAGACCCATAGACCACTCATAGAGACCCATAGACCACTCATAGAGACCCACATACTACTCATAGAGACCCATAGACCACTCATAGAGACCCATAGACTACTCACACAGTAGAGACCCATAGACCACTCATAGAGACCCATAGACTACTCACACAGAGACCCATAGACCACTCATAGAGACCCATAGACCACTCATAGAGACCCATAGACCACTCATAGAGACCCACAGACTACTCATAGAGACCCATAGACCACTCATAGAGACCCATAGACTACTCACACAGTAGAGACCCATAGACCACTCATAGAGACCCATAGACTACTCACACAGAGACCCATAGACTACTCACACAGAGACCCATAGACTACTCACACAGTAGAGACCCATAGACTACTCACACAGAGACCCATAGACTACTCACACAGAGACCCATAGACTACTAATAGAGACCCATAGACTACTCACACAGTAGAGACCCACAGACTACTCACACAGTAGAGACCCACAGACTACTCACACAGTAGAGACCCATAGACTACTCACACAGTAGAGACCCACAGACTACTCACACAGTAGAGACCCACAGACTACTCACACAGTAGAGACCCATAGACTACTCACACAGTAGAGACCCACAGACTACTCACACAGTAGAGACCCACAGACTACTCAGACAGTAGAGACCCACAGACTACTCACACAGTAGAGACCCATAGACTACTCACACAGTAGAGACCCACAGACTACTCACACAGTAGAGACCCACAGACTACTCACACAGTAGAGACCCACAGACTACTCACACAGTAGAGACCCATAGACTACTCACACAGTAGAGACCCACAGACTACTCACACAGTAGAGACCCACAGACTACTCACACAGTAGAGACCCACAGACTACTCACACAGTAGAGACCCACAGACTACTCACACAGTAGAGACCCACAGACTACTCACACAGTAGAGACCCACAGACTACTCACACAGTAGAGACCCACAGACTACGCACACAGTAGAGACCCACAGACTACTCACACAGTAGAGACCCATAGACTACTCACACAGTAGAGACCCACAGACTACTCACACAGTAGAGACCCATAGACTACTCACACAGTAGAGACCCACAGACTACTCACACAGTAGAGACCCACAGACTACTCACACAGTAGAGACCCACAGACTACTCACAAAGTAGAGACCCACAGACTACTCACACAGTAGAGACCCATAGACTACTCACACAGTAGAGACCCACAGACTACTCACACAGTAGAGACCCACATACTACTCACACAGTAGAGACCCACAGACTACTCACACAGTAGAGACCCACAGACTACTCACACAGTAGAGACCCACAGACTACTCACACAGTAGAGACCCATAGACTAAATTTCGATTTAAAGCTTTCGTGACTGCAGGGATTCATCTTCTTGGTTCTTTCGGTAAAGTCACGTAGAAGGGAAGTAATAAAATAATAAAAATAAAACATAATAAAACAATTCTCACGACGTTTCGGCCACAACCCAAGCAGCCGTCCTCAGGTGAAAACCAGGTCCGTCGAGGCGACAGAGTCTGAATGAAACAGCACACGAGCTTGGAGCATAGCAGCAGCAGCAACTGCAGCAGCAGCAGCAACTGCAGCTCCCTTTGATGCTGTTAATCCTGCATAATGCACATGCATATGCAGGACTAATCACATTCCTGCATTTCCCATAAATATGCTAAATTCCTTTTGATATGCAAATTCCTTTGTCAATGCGCCCAGCTTATATATATGCTCCAAGCTCGTGTGCTGTTTCATTCAGACTCTGTCGCCTCGACGGACCTGGTTTTCACCTGAGGACGGCTGCTTGCGTTGTGGCCGAAACGTCGTGAGAATTGTTTTATTATGTTTTATTTTTATTATTTTATTACTTCCCTTCTACGTGACTTTACCGAAAGAACCAAGAAGATGAACCCATAGACTACTCACACAGTAGAGACCCATAGACTACTCACACAGTAGAGACCCATAGACTACTCACACAGTAGAGACCCATAGACTACTCACACAGTAGAGACCCATAGACTACTCACACAGTAGAGACCCATAGACTACTCACACAGTAGAGACCCACAGACTACTCACACAGTAGAGACCCATAGACTACTCACACAGTAGAGACCCATAGACTACTCACACAGTAGAGACCCATAGACTACTCACACAGTAGAGACCCACAGACTACGCACACAGTAGAGACCCACAGACTACTCACACAGTAGAGACCCATAGACTACTCACACAGTAAGAGACCCACAGACTACTCACACAGTAGAGACCCACAGACTACTCACACAGTAGAGACCCACAGACTACTCACACAGTAGAGACCCATAGACTACTCACACAGTAGAGACCCACAGACTACTCACACAGTAGAGACCCACAGACTACTCACACAGTAGAGACCCACAGACTACTCACACAGTAGAGACCCACAGACTACTCACACAGTAGAGACCCATAGACTACTCACACAGTAGAGACCCACAGACTACTCACACAGTAGAGACCCACAGACTACTCACACAGTAGAGACCCACAGACTACTCACACAGTAGAGACCCATAGACTACTCACACAGTAGAGACCCACAGACTACTCACACAGTAGAGACCCACAGACTACTCACACAGTAGAGACCCACAGACTACTCACACAGTAGAGACCCATAGACTACTCACACAGTAGAGACCCATAGACTACTCACACAGTAGAGACCCACAGACTACTCACACAGTAGAGACCCACAGACTACTCACACAGTAGAGACCCACAGACTACTCACACAGTAGAGACCCACAGACTACTCACACAGTAGAGACCCACAGACTACTCACACAGTAGAGACCCACAGACTACTCACACAGTAGAGACCCACAGACTACTCACACAGTAGAGACCCACAGACTACTCACACAGTAGAGACCCACAGACTACTCACACAATAGAGACCCACAGACTACTCACACAGTAGAGACCCACAGACTACTCACACAGTAGAGACCCACAGACTACTCACACAGTAGAGACCCATAGACTAAATTTCGATTTAAAGCTTTCGTGACTGCAGGGATTCATCTTCTTGGTTCTTTCGGTAAAGTCACGTAGAAGGGAAGTAATAAAATAATAAAAATAAAACATAATAAAACAATTCTCACGACGTTTCGGCCACAACCCAAGCAGCCGTCCTCAGGTGAAAACCAGGTCCGTCGAGGCGACAGAGTCTGAATGAAACAGCACACGAGCTTGGAGCATAGCAGCAGCAGCAACTGCAGCAGCAGCAATTGCAGCAGCAGCAGTAACTGCAGCTCCCTTTGATGCTGTTAATCCTGCATAATGCACATGCATATGCAGGACTAATCACATTCCTGCATTTCCCATAAATATGCTAAATTCCTTTTGATATGCAAATTCCTTTGTCAATGCGCCCAGCTTATATATATGCTCCAAGCTCGTGTGCTGTTTCATTCAGACTCTGTCGCCTCGACGGACCTGGTTTTCACCTGAGGACGGCTGCTTGCGTTGTGGCCGAAACGTCGTGAGAATTGTTTTATTATGTTTTATTTTTATTATTTTATTACTTCCCTTCTACGTGACTTTACCGAAAGAACCAAGAAGATGAACCCATAGACTACTCACACAGTAGAGACCCATAGACTACTCACACAGTAGAGACCCATAGACTACTCACACAGTAGAGACCCATAGACTACTCACACAGTAGAGACCCACAGACTACTCACACAGTAGAGACCCATAGACTACTCACACAGTAGAGACCCATAGACTACTCACACAGTAGAGACCCATAGACTACTCACACAGTAGAGACCCACAGACTACGCACACAGTAGAGACCCACAGACTACTCACACAGTAGAGACCCAGACTACGCACACAGTAGAGACCCACAGACTACTCACACAGTAGAGACCCACAGACTACTCACACAGTAGAGACCCACAGACTACTCACACAGTAGAGACCCACAGACTACTCACACAGTAGAGACCCACAGACTACTCACACAGTAGAGACCCAAGACTACTCACACAGTAGAGACCCACAGACTACTCACACAGTAGAGACCCACAGACTACTCACACGTAGAGACCCAAGACTACTCACACAGTAGAGACCCACAGACTACTCACACAGTAGAGACCCA